GATTTTTCTTAATGAAAGTGTCATGCAGTGACTACATGTATTCCAGAATTGAAGGTTTATCTATTGAGTTCTTTGTCTATTTGCCGAATTTCTTTTATTATGCGACATGTAATCCGTTGTAAGCTGCATTTCTCTGTATAAATTTGTGATGCTCCTAAGGATAAAACTTTCTATAGTCGGTTAAAAGGCTCTACAAGGCTTACATGTTAAAATGTTAAACTGTATTACATGTATATATAATGCCGATTTTAGATTTTAAAAATATGTTTACAGAAATTACAATCATGATACTGCATTACTAGCAGAGTTGGCGAAGTGTGCCGGATTACCGACGATCGCCGATAGATTTCATGCATGTCCGGCAAAAGTTGAAACCATGCTGGACATCGTGTCCGGTAAATTTTAAAATACCAGTACCTAGAGAAATTAAAGTTATTCCCGTGTTTTAGGTAAAATACCACCGGGAAAAAAATCCCCATGGAACTTTTACGGCATTGTATTGCTTTTATCGTTCAGAAAAGGATTAAAAATATTGATGAAATTGCATAATTTCAAATCAGAATGCATTGTTTACATTTTCTAGAGATCAAGACAAATGAAAAACTATTTCTTATAATTTTCAGTAATAAATTGGTTAAATGATCGATTGTATTCTGCAACAAGAGGCCAAAATGGCGCGAATTTCGGAATGATGACGGAACGTCATAGTCATGCAGTTTCACTTGTGACGTAATGAGTTAACTGTAGGCCCAAAATAGGCCCATGGCACTTAACGTAGTTTTTGAAAATAGGCCCAAAATAGGCCCACGGCACAAAGAATGTTAATAACAACGAAGAATTAAAGTCTGGGTTCAATTAATATATTGTATATTCCATTATATGTACAGGTCATTTCATGTGTGTGGTTCTGGAAATAAAATATTTAACAAATAATTCACAGACAAACAAACATACACAAACATCACACAAAACACTGAATTTTCTGGCTAAGGGAAATAACTCCATTTTCCTCATAACTTTAAGGATCATCATAAAATAATCATTTCAAGCATTATATTATGCATTTTATTATCATAAAATAATTTTACTTTTCACTATAAATATTTCCATTCAAAGTATTCAAATGAAATTCTATTTACAACACAAATAGACATCACAATATACACAAACTTCACTAAACACAAATCTTACCAAATATATGGTATATGAACATGATCTTCCTGATCCTTAATTTCTCAGTCAGTCATAACTATAATAAATTATCACAAAGTAAGTCTGACTGATTATTGGCAAAAATATATTTAAAACTCATAAAAAATAATATTTTACATAAATCTCATTCACATAACTTGCACACATCATGCTCATAATTTATAATGTTAAAATGTTAATAAACTGACCTGTTTAGTATATTGTCCATAAATCCATAGGTCTGGTATAGAAATTGTCAGTAAATTATTTTGGAGTCAGTAAAAATACACTGCTCATTCTAAGGATCTTTTTTGAATGTCTAAAAAATTACTACAATAGTGAGCTTCTCACCAGAGTAGCCAATCAAAAACCTGGTTCACCCATGCATGAATAGCATGCTTGACTTAATGGAAAATACTATGGAAAAGCCTTAGTGTAATAAATATATACAAACGCTCTTACTTATAACTATTTAAAGTATGGAAATACATTATGGACAAAAATTAAAAACAATAAGTCAATGCTGTATTTTTATTAGATAATATCTTTATTAATAAAAACACGCGGTCACATTGAAATATCGTGTACGAAGAGCATTTGAAGAGTTTTGAGAACTGTTTGCTAAAATATTAAGCAATTCGCGAAAGTTAATTAAGGAATGTTTTTAAGTTTTGTGTGAGTTGTTGGTGTGTAAATCACACAGACTTCTCACGTAGGCATATTTCATAAAGCGCGCTAGCGCTTCATGAAAAATATGCCTACGTGCAAGTCAGTGTGATTTACACACCAATAATTCACACTAAACTTAAAAACATTCCTTATATTTACATTTTACAAGTTTAAAAGCAGCAATAATATACTCAATATTTGAAATTCTTGCTACCCTATATCGTTACATTTTTATTACGTCTCTGTAGCCTCATTGTGACGTCACTTTAGCGCGAGTTTCACCGTGTATATTTCTACACGTGAGTATACACAAAAATGACTTTCAAATCAATTTCACAGTTGGCTTAGTAGAAAAACACAGCAAATGTAAATATTGTTTGATACCATTGAAAGAGCTAGAATAGTTGCACTTATATTGACGTCACAATCTTATATTTATGACGTAATAGCTCCAAAAATGACGTTTGAATCTCGAATGTTTAGCATACTGAAATGTCGCGTTCTTTGTCCAAATGAGAAATAACGAAAAATGCTGTCAAAGGCTCCTTTGAAAATATATTTCAAGGAAAATTTGCATGGAGATAGAGCAAGACTGCAAGAATGGTACGGTAAATCAGCAATTCCATATTTCATTTTTTGCTTGGTCAATAAGAACGGTTTATGTCCCGTTATGTTATCATATGCATTCATAACAGATGTTTATTTATATGATATAGCTGGATTTTTGGTCTATTACCAGGGGTTCAAGCCCTCCTCTATATCAAATAAATTATTCTATATTAAACCGAAGTGTAACAATGCAGTTTTCCACAAATGTATCTTGAGTATCAGGACTCGCACCGTCTACAAATAAAATGTACAAAAGTCCCCCCCCCCCCCCGAACTTGTTTTTCATATTATTTTCAACTTTGCGGTTTTCTCACAGCAGCGTTTTTCTTACCCAACATTTTCGATTCGATAATGACATGCTTTGTTTGACCATAGACCTAAAGCAGAGGGACCGCCGACTTGCTTTGGTGGGAAAATATATCCCTGCATTCGCAGTGCCCTCATCGGGATGTATAGATATAAACATGACGTTGTTTACATCATCTACATTGTCGAGATATTATAGCCTTGAATGAATTAAACTATTGCCGAATTTATCAAAACTGTTGAGGTATTTATTGTTTCGTAATGTGTAAAAATAATAAAATCGAAAGTATATAACATGATCACAGAACAGCTTTCAAATATGCGAAGTTGCTCAAGATGAAACTCGTTGAAAAAAAAGCGCTCACAATCTAGAAACAAATATTTATTGTGTGCAACTTTTAATCGCATGATTTATGGCAGTGATTAAAGAAAAACGATGATCCTTTTTCAATTTCAACAACAGGCCCTTCACGTAGCATACTATCATCATGGTATATAGTACACGAGTAAGGAGGGGAAGGGGGATAATTGATAACTAACAAGAATATTCTTTGACAAGCAAAAAAAAAAAAAAAAATAGATAAATAATGATGAGAATTGACTAAATACGAAAACCGTCTATTTTAGAAAAGGGGGGGGGGGGTTACAGTTTTTATTAATCAAGAAATACTTCAACTTTGGAAAATATTACTATATACTGTAGAAAAAATGTTATGAAATTCGGAATTAAAATGCAGCTGCGGGGTATCAAAGCTCAATATCGTATCTAAAAAATTAATCCGCAAAGCGTACAGAAAACTTAATTAAGTCAGCAAAGGGTCATGATTGATTTCCCATGTGACTCTTAACTGTATTTTTCAGAAAGGAGGATATAAATTCTAGGAACCCGATACTGATCGGAATCTTCTCTATACATAACAGTCTGTTAGAGGAAAAAAGCAACTTCCTGACTATGGTTTTAATGCCTTCTTTTTTTCTTATTTGTACTTTCTAGACGGAATTTTCAAATCGGTTTTAAGGCTTTAGCATAAGCCTTTCTTTTATCATTGTATTTTTGACCCTAAGTGCCGCCATATCTGATGCTCACTGTGAAGACATCAAATCGCCAATATACATTTATTTGTCTGCGCAATTTAAATGCAAAATCGTACTTGTTGTTATCTTCTAGATTTTTCAAAGAGACAGTTTCCTTTAGGGTACAGTGTAATTTCCATGGACTTATGGACTTTTTCATATTTGGTAAGCCTAATTTTGAGTTCAAAACTTAATTAAAAGGTATTCTTTAGTCAGATAATTGATTTTAGAACTCAAAAAATTGGATCTCCATCAGTTTTCCACTTTTTTCCACTTGTTATACATTCGTAAGTCTAAACAAGGTTCGTTTTAAAGAAAGCACATGCAAATATTTAAGCACTGAATTATTAGTTTTGGATGTCGTCGATCGTACAACAGAACCTGGCCGTCCAGATAAATTGAATACCGCGCGTTATCTATATAATACGTAGAGGAACATCCTAAAATAAAAATTCAATGCTTATATTTACATCTAAGTTCTCCAGAAATGTTTATTTCATTCATCTTTATTTTAAATTGAAATGGTGTGGTTAATAGACGTAAGAAGCTTTGTGACGTGAAAGTTAAATAACGCAAATGAATGTTGCTAGAGGAAAATGACAATTAATTCTTAACGAACAATTGTTATATTTTTACAAGAATTTAATAAAGTAATTGTTTTAAATCAAATTGAGCCAAAACAATATACATTTTGGTGCTCATAGTGTATTGAAAATGTATGCAGTTCTTATTGTGTATTTTACAGCGCAGCGAGAGGTTTCTGTGTGTTATGATGGGATAAATGTTGTAAATCCAATGGATTTTATAGCGAAAATTACACTGAATGTGAATACAAGTAGATACACATGACGTTTCGTCGCTGCTGATTCATGAAGTGACTAAGTATGTTGATCTCTATCTCTCTCTTGACCTTTAGATAATCCAACATGTTCTATCAAATATCTGCATTCATTTAGTTCACTCTTACTAAAAACGCATGTTGATTTTTGTTTCTCGACAGTTAAATTTCCTTTTTTACTTAAATATCAAATATCATTCAGCAAGGACTTTGTAATTTTAAATTACACCAATAAAAATATACTACGTAGAAAGTGTAGCTAATTTTATGAAATTTATTAAACAATACTCTCGTTTTATTTCCTGGTATCAATTTACACTGTGTCTTATGTAAGCGTAGCAGGATGAACCAGTTTGCATCGAAGTATGACTTTCCTATATGCAATAGAAATGACACCGCCACATCCTGGGTTCCAGCTGGAATGGAATACTTTTTTGGAGTGTCTGGTAATGTTATTGCCTTCATTCTTCTCTGGGTCAACCGCGAGGAACACCGTTGGTTTTCTTTCTTCAAACTGTTCACAGGTCTTGTCATCACCGATTTTTTGGGAGTATTTCTCGCTTATCCATTTATTATGGCAAGATACGCGTCTGGATTCACGTGGTGTTACCCGAAGCCTCTTTGTGAGTTCTGTTCTTTTGTGTTTGTGGATGCTCATTTATCGGCAGCCTTACTTATCTGTGCAATGTCAATTGATCGATTTATGCATTTAAGGAACACTGAAGGCTACTTGAACTCAAACATAAACTACACTTTCGTGCTAATAGGAATTTGGTGTGGTGCTAGTGTCATCTCTTTATTGCACTTAGTTGGAGTTGGAAAAAGTAACTTATATTTCCCTGGCTCTTGGTGTTACTTTGACTTTGTGGGCGATACAACTGGAAACCGCGTCATGTCTTACCTTTATTCTGTAATTGGTTTTATTGTCATAAGCGTTACCGTTGCAATTAACGTCATTACAATGTACCGGATTTGCAGAGACCCGGTACAAAGAGGGAACCTTCTGGACACCAGTGTAGTTTCCGGATTCTATGATTCCCATGTAATGATTTTCATAAGTGCAGTTACCGTTGTGTTTGTCATTCTATGGACACCTCTAGTTGTAAGTAAAATAATTTTCTATATTTACAATTGCTGTGTTTTTCTACTAAACCAACTGTGCAATTGATTTAAAAGTCATTTTTGTGTATAATCACGCGTAGAAATATACTCGGTGAAACTCGCGCTAAAGTGACGTCACAATGAGGCTACAGATACGTAAATAAAAATGTAACGATATAGGACAGCAAGAAATTCAAATACTGAGTATATTATTGGTGCTTTTTATCTTGTAAATGTAAATATAAGAAATGTTTTTAAGTTAAGTGTGAATTATTGGCGGGCTTCATGAAATATGCCTACGTAACAAGTCTGTGTGATTTACACACCAATAACTCACACAAAACTTAAAAGCATTCCTTAAATGATGATACCACTTTGTAAGTCATATACTAGTATCAGAAGCAACAATCATGGTAATGTCGGTCTTTTTTCTGCAGGTGGACATCTTTCTTCATGCCACTAATATAAGAACAAAAAACGACAACAATGGCATTGAATTGTGGCTTTTACGAATGGCTGTCTTAAATGCTATAGTTGACCCATGGTTGTACATTGTGCTTAGGAAGGAGTCGCTGCGCCAAATCGTCTTATGTTTCCGCTATTGTAGAAGAAGGTCAGAACTTCAAAACATGGCTGAGGACGAATTTAGAGAAACAGACGAATTGCTTCCCTAAATATGATATATTGTTCATGAATATATAACATTTGCCACTAATAAGGAAAAGAAAACATGTCATTATGAATTGATGTTTTCTGATTCAAAAATAAGCAGGAATTAAATGTATATGGTGATTATCATTATTGTAAATTTTGAATTTATAAGGGGAGGTAAATGCACAATTTGTGATAGTTTTCGTAAATGTTATCGTTACAGTGCCTAGTTATCGAGCATCTAAAACATAATCCTCCAACATGTTTATGTTCTTCTTCACCCTACGACATTACTAGTGACGTAAATATAGTTGATAATGAGAACTTTCATTCACTTATTATCAGAGGGCCAAAGCTTAGGAAATCCCGGTCTTTCAACTGGTGTCTTATTTGATAAATATTATGAATTCAGTAGAAAATTACGCCAGATGATGGGCTAAATATGCAAAAGAAGACCTTGACACTTTGTTAGAATGGATTAAATATATCAGATGGATGTTGAAATCGCGCATTAAGCGATTTAGGGGCAACATGAAAACCATCTATCCTTCTGACTTCGACAATGCAGAAGTGAAACAAGAATTAGATAGATTACACGATCAGTATGCACTGGTTCCCGCTGACAAAGCAAGTAACAACATTGCCTTTGCTTGTAAGGCTCATTATTTGAATTGTTAGTATTTTAGCACTAGGATTTAATTCAGTGGTAATCCAACTTATACCCATAGCTCCCTTTCTAAGGTTGAAATTCTTTAAAGCCATAAGTCAGTTTTAAACACTTTTAATATTCCCAACAACCATAATGAATTTGAAATACCATACCTGTACTGGATTCCAAAACTCCATAAAAATCCTTACAAACAAAGATACATATTGGGTTCCAGAAAATTGTCTACCAAACCTCTTTCTTTACTTCTAACAAAAATATTTACAGCAGTGAAGGAGAAACTTGAGGAGTACTGTACAACAGTATATCCGAGAAGTGGTGTAAATCAGATGTAGATATAAAAAAAAACTCCAAGGCACTTTTAGAAAAATTGAAATTACAAAATTAAAAAAAAATCAATAACATCAACATGTACGACTTTTTAACACTTTATACAATTATTCCCAACGATAAATTAAAGTCCAGGCTTTTTGACATCACAGACAGCTGCTTTTTAAATGAAAATGAAACTCGTAAATATACTTAGCTTGTCACTAATCATTTGCAAAATTATTTTGTTAAAAAATATTCTGACTGTACACACAAGTACTCTGAAGTTGATATTAAAAAGGTGCTTGAGTTTCTGATTGACAATATCTATGTAGTTTTGGGGATCAGGTCTTCCAACAATCTGTCGGAATTCCCATGGGTACCAATTTCGCCTTAATATCAGAACTATTCTTGTATTCATCTGAAGCAGAATTTATTCAAATCTCGTACATGAGAAGAAGAAAACACTTGCTGTGGCCTTCGACTCGACATTTAGATATATCGACGACGTATTATCGATTACACGTAACAATAATCACTTCCATTCATATGTCGACTCGATACATCCCAGTGAGCTTGAAATAAAAGATACCACAGGGTCTGACACATCTGTTTCATGTTTAGATATTTTACTAGAAAAAGACTTTAATGTTAACCTAGCTAACAACAAAGCTTTATGATGATGACTTTAATTTTTCAGTTGTTAACTTCCCAATATACCAATATCACCTGCATATATGATTTTTGTCTCCCAATTGATTCGATACGCAATAGCATGCTCTACGTATAAATAAGTTCTACAACGAAGCAAGCTATTGACAAACACGTTGATGAAACAAGGATATTAACAGCCTTGTTTGAAGTCATCATTTCGCAAGATTTATGGTCGATACAAAGACCTTGTTAGCAAATACAACCTTCATTAAGTCAAATTCTGACTGACGTTTTTCATACTTATTGTCAGGCCATTATTTACACACTGAATTGTCGAAGGATTTTTCCGTTTTTTTCCCTATCATGACAAGGAGCACACAGCAGGTTTGACCGGTCGACAGGAGGGATGCTCACTCCTCTGTGGAACCGGATGCAACCTCTGATGTTTTTGGATATCCAAGTTTGCTCTGCTTCCGATTTGTATTATCTTAATGGACCTTGAGCTTGAATACTGTTCGTTATGCCTATATTTCATTATTTGTGCATTTATAATATTTATATACTAGTATATTGGATATTTAAATGTTTTTGTTTGTTTGTAAGTTGTTTAACGTCCCTCTCAAGAATTTTTCACTCATATGGAGACGCCACCACTTGCCGGTGGAGAGCTGCAAATTTTGTCCTATTCTCGACACTTACGGCCATTGAGCAGTGAGGGATCTTTTTCGTGTCAGCACCTTTTGCGACACGGGACCTCGGTTTATACGGTCTCATCCGAAGGACCGGTCTCCACGTCCCACAGTGGGATTCGAACCCGCGACGTAAGGATCAACTCCTTACTTCGCGACTCTAGAGCAGACGCTCTAACCACTGCGCCACGCCGGCGACTGATATATAAATGTAAAGTATTGGATATATATATATATATATATATATATATATATATATATATATATATATATATATATATATATATATATATATATATATATATTTCCATTTCCACATATATTTCCTTAAGATTCTTTGCAAATTAGAGTATTGTTCATTTTCTCATGAACTACAATGGATGAGCATGAATATCTCCATTGTTACGTCATAATACCGTACTTGACGTCAAAACTATAGTGCAAACTGTTTTGCTTTAAAAATGACAGTTGAATTGTGGCACCTAATCAGAAAAATAATGTAAATGTAAGAAATGAATTTAATTTTTGGAAATTCATGAGGTACATGAACTATAACGCTTCACGCCAGCATATTTATCATGAAGCGCTAACGCGCTTCATGAAATATGCCGGCGTGAAGCGTCGTAGTTCATGTCCTCATGAATCTTCAAAAATTAAATTCATAGAGAGAGAGAGAGAGAGAGACTGTGTAGTGTGTAACGCCATTGTCTGTAGCGTTACGTTACTTTTCTTCAGAAATTTCTGCTAGATGCAAATGTTCAAAGTTAATCACATTGAAATGGGGGGTATATTTTTGCACTAACGTTTTTATATGGACACAGGAGAAAGAAGAGATATTAACAATATTCGGTCCTGAAAGCGTATCGCTATAAAAATCGACCCAGGAGAAAATTACAAATAACTAAACAAGGAAATCTCTGATGATTCGGTGGTAAGATTGACAAACTGGAGATGGGTTAATGAAAAAGTGGATAATCTATCATCAAAGATGATCACCGTAAAAACGTCCAAAACATCAGTGTGCAAAACGAGAAGTACGTGGCTCATGACTGTAAAATATTAAGTGGAAGAAGATGGAGTATACGCAATTGGAGATATAGGAAGCAGCTTATGAAAGCAGTGTACAAACTATCGTGCACAAACTTTTGATGAATGCTCCGTTCATGCAATGGTTTGTGTACGATGAATACCCCATTTGTTGACATTGAAGCGGAGAAGACGTATCTGGAATACGCAATGAAACTCCTTAAGGAATGCAAAAACTGCAATAGCAGCAAGTTTTTTTTTTAATTTATAGACATGTGATAAACTTTTGACCTACACGTTTTAACCACAAAGAAGATCAGACTATAAACAACGGAAAAATAAAACAATAAATTGTTTGGTAATTTGCGAAGTGCAAAATATGTGTTGTAAAGATTTTTTGTTTATTTTTTAAGGACCTGTGTTTGTTACATTGTTTATAGTGCTGTTTGCTATCTAATGTCATTTGAAAGTGGATCTTTCCGTCAAGTTATGATGTGCAAGCTACCTGTTTGATACATTAGGCTACAGGGATAATGTGATTGATATAAATTAGTTTGCAGTTAAAAAGATTATTATTCTACGAGTTCGCAACTGAAGCTATTTCACCTTTTTTCATTTTCTCTAAATCATTCTTAATTTCATTGATTTCATTTTGAGATGCTAGCCATCAATGAAATGTTTCTTTATTTTCTAGGCCCCCTTTTATTATGTATCGGAATTTCTTTCGGAGAGTAAACTGTTTACATTTTGACCCTCTCAGTTAAAACAAGTACTTCCGAGTCAGTTAACTAATTATAAAATTTTAACTTCCTGCCTCCAATATTCTACTTCGCAATTTCATAAATACAGCTGCATATGTTTTTCCTGCTCTGTCATATAGGGATTTCTTTTAACATATTTAATAGTTCAGTCATGTTAGACCGCGTATGAAATATGAAGATATCGAAGAGTAACAAGCTCAAAAATCCATTGAAACAGTACAAATTTGGAGCAGAGCGGACCTCTAAAACATCAGATGTGGGATCATGTCCAATGGAGGAGTAAGCATCCCCTGTCGAATGATCACAGTCGCCGTGTTCTCCTTGTCATGATCGGGCAAACGGAAAAAGTCAGTAGGAGATAGACAATTCAGTGTGAAAATAATATTAATGCCCTATCAATTAGTATGAAAAACGTTAGTCAACATTCAGCTTAATGATAGGTTGTATTTGCTGATAAGGTCATTTTATCGATCATAGATTTTGCGAAATGTTGAATTTAAACAAGACTGTTGATATCCTTGTTTCATCAACTTATCTTATAACTTATAATAGTTTTCCTCATTATAGAAAGTAGAAGGTAGAACATGCTCTTGCTTATCGAATCAACTGGCAGACATAAACTCCAATTGCAGGTGATAATGGTATTTTGCTACCACTGGGTCACTTTGTTTTCGAAATATATTCTCTGTGCTTGTGAAAGCCTGTATATTTCTAATTATTGTCTCTAGATTTTACTTCTACTTACAAAGGTGAGTAAGTTATGTGGATTTATTTTAATTTACTAGTAATAAAAAAAAACAATTCGCTACGTCGAAAAGTTCTGTTTATATTCTTTCTACGTAATATTTTATATGATCGAAAAACAGAATTACGAATCGATCATTGAAAATGTTTTTTTTCAGTCCTGAAATGGTAGAAATAAGTGAATGCGATGCTCATTATATTGTGTAAACTGTGTGTGATAATTGTTAAAGCATACTTAACCTTGAGTAAAGGGTTATATGTCTTAAGTGAGAAAGCACTAGAGAC